TGCCGAGTCGGAATCTGAGACGGAGGAGTGAGTTAATAATATATATACCGATTACGGTCTATGGATTGTGTTGTGTCTGGTCCTAATGTCTTAAGGGTTTGGTATTTGAATAAGTGTTAGAGGACATGAATCTGGCTGGGTTTCTCTCGTCTCGGTTGGGTGTTTGTTTGCTTGTTTTTTTTTATATCGTGTTTGATGCACGTCGTTTCTATGGACTTGTGGCTGGCTGTTGGATTTCTTCTTCTTATTTTTGTTTGGGTTTATTGTCATATGTTTTTGTTAAATTGGTATTTTGTTTTACTATTTAATATTTTAAATAATGAAATTTTCAAATAATAAATAACATAATGATATCGAAGTATAAAAATCAAAATCGGAAATTGCATATAAAAATAGTTTGGAAAATTATGAAAACAATAAATTAAAATCAATTCAATTTTTTAATATAAAAGCTAAATTGATTATTTGTAACAAAAATAAAAAAATTATAAAAATAATTGAATTTGAACAAAGAATTGAAATGTAGAACTAGCATTTGGATACAGTGATAAATGAACGGTGACTCCTTTGGAGACAATAATAAATACAAGGAAAGTTGATTTCTTTCTTAATAAAATTGTATTTGATTAGATAGACGATAGAAATTGAATATATATAAGTATATAAATAAAATGCCTAACAATTTTGCAAACACCGATGAAGAAATAATGAGTGGCACTTTGCTTGTATTATTAGACGTAAGAAATTGTTTATATGTATCTGCTCAATCTCAAGACCCAAAACCCACAGAGATATGGCGACCTCTCTCGTTATCAATCCTCCCAACTCCCTTTCTCCTTGCTTCTCAGTCTCCCCTTCTTCTTCAATTCCCAACGACAAACCAAGAACCCTAGCCCTGCGGAACCTCCATGGCCCACATTCTTCCCCATCGAATCCCATCCGTGGGTTTTTACCGCTGTCTCTCTCTCCCATAAGCATGAGCAAGCGGGGGAGCTTCGTTGCTTCTCTATCCGCCCAACAATCTCCTCCTGTAAGTGTTTTTTTTCCTTTCCCTGGGTATCAGATTCGCCACCGGATTTCCATTTTCTGTATCGTAATTCCATTTGGGTTCTCTTAGATTTGTGAATTTCCGTTCTGGGAATCGCTACATGGATTGTGATTGACGGTGTTCTTGTTTCTCAGACGAACGGGGAAGAGGGGAGCCCAAAGTACCCGACGGATGTGAAAACCCTGATCAGGGTTTATCAAGAAGCTCTTTCTAATGGCGACGAGAAAGTTATTTCTGAAATCGAAGCGGTTTTCTGCGAAATTGAAAAGGCTTCTACCGGAGAGGCCCAAAGATAAGAAAGCAGGGTCCTCATTCTGGTCACTGTGACAGTTCTTCACAATATGATATCGAGGAAAAGATAACATTTGCAGTATTCCCGTCCCTACAAGGGGGTCCTCACAACAACCACATCGCTGCTCTTGCCATTGCCTTGAAACAAGTGGCCACTCCAGAGTACAAAGCTTACATACAACAGGTGAAGAGAAACGCTCAAGCTTTGGCATCAGCTCTGCAGAGGAGAAAATGCCGGTTGGTTACCGGTGGCACGGACAACCATTTGTTGCTATGGGATCTGACCCCCTTGGGACTGACAGGTACGGAAACATTATTCATGGATTCTTGTTCATCATGAAAGAGAGTTATGTCAGATTGCAGGCTGATTTTGAAAACACCAGGAAAAAGTTTGACAAAGATCGTCTCAGTACAGAATCCAACGCCAAAGGAGAAGTAATGAAGAGACTCTTGCCAATTGTTGATAGTTTTGAGAGAGCAAGACAACAGATTAAACCCGAGAGCGAGAAGGAAAAGAAGATCGATACGAGTTATCAAGGAATATACAGGCAATTCGTCGAGGTGTTGAGGAGTTTGCGCGTTTCGGCCATTGCAACTGTTGGAAAGCCCTTTGACCCTTTGGTAAGTACAAGCTCTTCATGACCATGATTCTTGTTTTGGTTTTGAAGTTTCCGCAACTAAGAATATAAAAATTGAATACCTTACAGCTTAACTTATCTGAAACTATACTGTGTCAGATCAGATGACTGATTCAGACAGTAAGTTTCAGCTTGTCTTCCTTGCATCAGGAAATGACTAGTAGCTTCTGTTCTTGTTTTTGTACTCTGGATACTTGAAACGGGTGACGAGCAGTTGAGCTCTGTAAAATGTTGTGGAAGGCTTTTGTTTGATACAATTCTCTATGCTCACATCTTCTTTCGTTTTTGCTAAACAACTGGTTTTTTTGTCAAGTTTTCGGGTTTGAATAACGTGGGAAAACCTGTACTGATTGTAGCTACATGAAGCTATTTCACGGGAGGAATCTCGGGAGATCAAGGCGGGGACAGTAACCCAAGAGCTCAGCCGGGGATTTCTTCTTGGTGATCGTGTTCTGAGACCCGCAAAGGTTATAGTATCCGCAGGACTTGGCCGGGAAAATACTCCTTCGGCTGCTGGGGAGACAGCCTCTTCAGCTGGAGTAGATGTACTGTAAAAGGTATTTTTCAAGGTTTTGTTCTTGATTCAACATTGTACCGCCTTTGCACACAATTTTTCACCATTAAAGGATATATACTAAGCTGTTTTGTTTTTTTATGCAATGATTGTTTCTGTTCACTCAATGGATCTGATTTTTGCTCCATACATATATGTTTCATCCGCCCTATATGAATGCAAGAGCCAATAACCGATTTAGCAAACACCTTCTCGGATTTTCGCAGTTCGGTTTGGTTGGAAATTCTGTCCAAATTCCGTGAAATCAGTTGAGGAACATAGTCTCGAAACCCCTTGTTCTAAGTGTTAAAGGTCAAAGAACTGCGAGATTGGTTGCAGGCCAAGATGTCAGACTTGGAAACTAGTGGTGAAAGTGAAACCAAGATTTGTCATTGAACCAATTCTATGCACATCCCATAGGACAGTGACAGCGGACACTGTACATTCGCCGTAATCTATAGTTTGTCCTACAACTGATCTGTCATAACATTACAAAAGATTGGTCTTTTGTTTTCCATGCTCCATGTTGAATCCTATCTGCACCTTCATTGCAGCAGTAGGTCTCTTCTTGCTCATCTTGAAGTGAAGCTTGTAACCTTTAGCCTCTGCGAAACAAGTCATAGGTAATTCTGTAATGAAGAGTCTAAAGACAGGGAAAATGGACCTTCCATGCCCATTGGCATGTAAGAACACAAAGATTAGCTAGATAGATATATTTCTTCCTGCAACAGTTCCGATATCACACCGGTTTTCCATTCATGATCAACTGAAACCTACTGTTGGAATCGAAATCAATGGCCAAGAACAATCAAATCAACATGTACCAGGTAACATCATGACCCTTCTCAAGAACATCGGTTTAACTCTACCGGTTTAGATATAACTTTCATAGAATGGGGAAAATTTTTATTCTTTGACCTTAACGGTGAAGCAACAGGAAGAATTACCATTGAGGAACAGGGTTCTGAGAACTGATGCTGTTGTAAAATCTGCTATATCTCCCACGCGTTTCCGGTTTTGGTTTAATGGTTTTCTTCTTCAAACCAAATATCTCTTGTACCAAAGGAACATGGACCAATACCAGCTTCCATGCCAGAAACCACCCTGCTCCAACACAAAGTAAAACCCCATACTCAAACCAAAACCCAGATGTTCAGATCGCACGATCACCATTCGCAAGCCCTAGAAATCAAAATTCTGCGAAAGAAACAAAATTCGAAAATAAGGGAGAGAGAGAGATTACAGAGGGCAATGAAGCAGAGAACGAACGCGATTGCCAAAAGCGGACGTAAGAATAATACGGTGGGGTAAACCCAGGAAGAAGATTCCATGATCGTTCTGACCAAGCAATCGCTCCGATTCCGATTTCGCCTATCCAAAGATTCGAAGGCACTCTCTCTCTCTCAATCCGATTTCAGAAACTGCAATAATTTACGCAACATCGAAACTGGTTCTCGTTTTTTTTTCAAGATTGAAATTTCCATAGCCCATAATTGGGCCTTTTCTTAATAGGCTCACTTCTAATGGGCTTTCTTTTAGCCCAATATGACGTTCTGTTCCTTTTTTTCATTCATGTAACTAGAAAACTAAAACAAAATTGAAATTTCTATTATTTTCAATTAATAAAAAACGGTCTGAATCTTAAGTTGCTAGCATAAAATTTTAATTATGAAAAAAAAACTTTGGATCATTTTTAAGAGTATATTATATTTCGATCCGTAATTATCTTTATTTGAAAACTAGCTCAATTTTCTCGTGCTCCTTAATTATATGTACCGTTTTTAAAAGTAAATGAAATACCAACCTTTTGACAAAAAAAATAATATACTTATTTTTATTCTCTAAACTGTCATATGAAATATGTTTAATTTATTCAAAAGATGAAGATTTGGTTTTGCAATAAAATAGGGTTTTCCAAAACTATGTGCACACGCTTTTTGAAGATACGACTTTTACATCTGAAACATATGTATTTTCAATGGTATTGTAAAGACCGAATCGTCATATTTATTTATCTATTTAGAAAAAATAGAATATATGATATATATATATATATATATCTATAAATTATTGATTTATATTCAGAGTTTTATATACATGGAATATATCGGCAACTAAAATCTAATTAAAAAAATAAAAAATAAATACTTGGCATAATGAAATGATTTATTTATAGATTAATTTTTTACAAGCAAAATATAAACACCAAACTTTTTTCATCCCAGTCTCTGTTACAACTTACAAATCATGGAGAAAAAAATTATATAAAAAATATAAATGCTAAATCTTAATAATTTAATTTAATATTTGTCTAAACTGAAAGACCAATAGTTGTCGATCTCTATGAATTATCCTCGATTTACGGCCACATGAGTTGTATTCCGTATTGTCCCCTCAAGTCCCTTTCAGATTTTGACACGTTTCATCCACCGGAGGTTACCTGACGCTACCGACTATTGCCGGTCAAGGGTTACCTTTAGTCTCACGGTTTGTGATAGAATACGTCCAGATTCATTGAACTGTGGCTAACCGGACAAACCGGTTAACTTTTGAAATCTTTTGCCTTCGTGTTCCCTGAGTCGTCCTATTTGTTCGCTCACTTTGTGTCCTTTTTTCTCACCGTCCAAACAGAATTTTCTCGGCGAAATAAATTTGCAGTCCAAATTAGGGTTTTGAGAGATTTGAATGGGAATTTCATTCAAATCTTCTTCATCAAAGCACAGATTTTTCTACTGTTGTTGCTGTTGTACCATTTGTCGCCTTTTTTGTCGATTCTGCTCGTAACTCGGGAATTGCTTCTGAAATCCCTAATTTTTTTTTCTCCCGCTTCTGTGTCGGAAATTTGTATGGATTTGAGTCGTGCTCAGCCTGATTTGTCGCTTGGATTTGGTTGCGCCCACGCATCAATGACCCCGAAAATTCCAATCGCCGACGATTCGATTAAGCTGCAAGTCGATCCGAGTTTTCGCGCGTCGCCGGCACCCATTCGTCCTGCTCCATTGCAGTTGCTCGAGCAGAAGGTTGAGAAAATTCGTGTAGGAGAGGGAAAGGAAGAGGAAGATCAAAAGGATGAGCATCATTTCAGCATTTTAGGGCACCCGATGTGTCTGAAAAGACAGCGGGATTGCCCAACGCTGTCGCAGGCGAAACCTCCGAAGAGAATCATGGCTGAAACCGATCTGGAATCAAGGCGAGCAGCTGTTAGGTCATGGGGCAATCAGCCTATTAATGTGGCAGATCCAGAGATTCACGAGATTATGGAGAAAGAGAAACAAAGGCAATTCAAAGGGATCGAACTGATTGCTTCTGAGAATTTCGTGTGCCGAGCGGTAATGGAAGCTTTGGGAAGTCACTTGACTAACAAGTACTCCGAAGGAATGCCCGGTGCGAGATACTACACGGGCAATCAATACATCGACCAGATTGAAACCCTGTGCATCGAACGTGCCCTTGCCGCATTTGGTCTTGAACCTGACAAATGGGGTGTCAATGTGCAGCCATATTCGTGTACTTCTGCGAATTTCGCGGTGTACACCGGACTTTTGGTGCCTGGTGATCGGATTATGGGGCTGGATTCTCCCTCCGGTGGGCACATGAGCCACGGGTATTACACGCCTGGTGGGAAGAAGGTTTCTGCTGCATCAATATTCTTTGAGAGTTTTCCTTATAAGGTGAATCCTCGCAGTGGGTATATTGATTACGATAAGCTTGAGGAGAAGGCGCTTGATTACCGCCCCAAGATTCTTATATGTGGAGGAAGTTCATATCCTAGGGACTGGGATTTCGCAAGGATTAGACAGATTGCAGACAAGTGTGGAGCTGTTTTGATGTGTGATATGGCTCATATAAGCGGGCTCGTTGCTACTAAGGTTTGAATCATCTACTACGGTCCTTGTTATGGTTGTTTGGGTTTGACTTTGCCATGTTGTAGATTGAATGTGATGATAAATTAGACTAATTAGTTGAGATTTTGTTGATTTCCTCAGGCTATGGCAGTGAAACTAAAGGTTTTTAAAGGGGTCTTTCTTGTTATATTGATTCAAGTACCAATTAGGCGGAGTACTGTTTAATTAGATTGTATTGTTAAACTTAGTTCTTTTTTCATGGTGGGTTTGGATTGAATCATTGTAGCAGACAGATTAGAGCTTGTAGTGAGCTTTGTAGTTACATAGAATGAAGATTTGGGAAAATAAGAATCGAATTGCATGCTTGCATCTTTTCTCTTCTTGTCATGGAGTTGATACTGGTTTCATATGTCAAATTGATACCCTTTAAGGAAGGGACTTGAAATTGATTGTACTTACAAACATTTTTATTCTGTTTCTGCTTGAAAAACTTTGTTTCTCATGAGTGTTTGGTATGTGTCCTCACAGGAATGTTCAAATCCGTTTGATCACTGTGACATAGTTACGTCCACTACCCACAAAGGTCTGCGAGGACCCAGAGGAGGTATCATCTTCTACCGGAGAGGCCCAAAGATAAGAAAGCAGGGTCCTCATTCTGGTCACTGTGACAGTTCTTCACAATATGATATCGAGGAAAAGATAACATTTGCAGTATTCCCGTCCCTACAAGGGGGTCCTCACAACAACCACATCGCTGCTCTTGCCATTGCCTTGAAACAAGTGGCCACTCCAGAGTACAAAGCTTACATACAACAGGTGAAGAGAAACGCTCAAGCTTTGGCATCAGCTCTGCAGAGGAGAAAATGCCGGTTGGTTACCGGTGGCACGGACAACCATTTGTTGCTATGGGATCTGACCCCCTTGGGACTGACAGGTACGGAAACATTATTCATGGATTCTTGTTCATCATGATTCATGACTTGTTCGCATATATTGTCTGAAAAAATAATGTACATAACCTAGGTTCAAGAATCTACTTAGATCATTTAAAAAAGAAACAAAAGCGGGCTCTCTCTCTATCTCTGGTTTAAGCAATATATCTGAAAATAGTAGATCCTTTAAAACTCAAGATAGATGACCTACTGAACATCTACTCTGTAACAAGAGACTTTAGCTTGGAACTTGAATATGGAATGATTAATCGGCTGCATGTCTGAGATGGTCTATGCTCTTTGCTCATTGTCTTTCAGGGAAGGTCTACGAGAAGGTCTGTGAGATGTGCCATATTACCTTAAACAAGACTGCTATATATGGAGACAATGGCTCCATATGTCCCGGAGGTGTCAGGATCGGTAAGCAGATAGATATGCATTGCTTTTAATCGGAATAACCGATCACGCTATTGTTCTCTGCCTGACTGAACTTCAAATTCTTGTATATGTATGAACAATAGGGACACCGGCCATGACAACCCGAGGCTGTGTAGAGTCAGATTTCGAGACAATAGCCGATTTTCTCATCAGGGCAGCTCAGATAACGAGTGCTTTGCAGAGGGAACACGGGAAGTGCAACAAAGAGTTTGTGAAGAGTCTCTGCAACAACAAAGACATAACTGAACTCAGGAACAGGGTTGAAGCCTTTGCTTCACAGTTTGAGATGCCTGCGTTTGAGATTTGAATGCCCAAATAGAGAGACCAATTGTCACAGCGGTGAAGCCACATTTAATTCTTCCACTAAATGCTCTCTCTCTCTCTCTCTCTCTCTCTCTCTCTCTGGGGTATTTCATTATAGTTATATATCCTGTAAATTACAGTGAATAGATGTATTTGTGTAGAAACGAAGAAAACGGAAATGAAGTACATTGTTTTTTTATGGAAATTATGAACATTGGTTATTGTGATAAACAAATGAAATATTTGTAATAGTTTGGTAATGTCACGTCATCTTTACGGAATGGGCACTCCTCCGACGGGGGCTAAAAAAAAGCAGTTTGTATGGTTCAGTTCTTACAAGGAAACCCAAAAGCAGAACCTAATTCTGTTTCTGTACAATTTGTGTTAGATAGATACAGTGATCAGGAAATCCAATGATGAGACATAGTCGTCGTCATATGATCATTGCTTCTTGGTGTCAATGAACATTGCCCGAGTCCAATGCTCAATGTCTTCCGACTGCGATGGTGGCGGTGGATACTTTGGATGTTCCACCATATCCCATCCATCGGTAAGCCCTTCGTTTTTCCCGTCTTCAGATGTTTCGGCCGTGGACAGGAAACTGGCCGCCGAGTTAGGATCACGGTTATTGTAACTTACGTTTCTCTGCAAGGAAATCAGGGGATAGATGTAATAAGAAAGAAACCATCCGAAAACAATCAACTCGTTAATTGATGGACGCCAAAGTTTCTACCAGATTTTTCGAAATCGGGGTTTGATTATGTATTAGGTAAGGTGGTGTTCAGAGATTTCTCGATTTGTTCGGTCCAATATATATACATAAAATAGTCAGGAATGATGAGGAATTAAGCGTGTACCGGAACAGGTAAGATATGGGCACTTTCGAGCAAGGAGCTTGAGATGACAGAGTTTGTGTTCCATATAGATTTGTTTAGTTGTTGAGCTTTCTTGCATGATCTGTAGAAAAAGACAGGAACCAAAGTACAAAGAGGTTAGACTGTCATGTACATATAAGAGAAAACAGAAAGCCATTATATATTAATTTTTTTTTTACCTCGAGGAAGCCATTTTCAGGGAAAAGACTGATCGGACCTCCTTGGAGGACGACAACGTGGCCAATAATTTGGCAAATGCTTCAAAAGTCGAGGCCTCATGAGGTATTTCTAGGCACAATGAATTGTAACAGTACGCTGTCAAGCAGGCGACGCTTTTCTTGAGAAGAGCTATACCTTTCTGCAGATCTCTGTGTGTCTCGACTGAATGAGGAGAAGCTAAAGAATAATTAAAGCTATTGTTCTCTAAAGAATCCAGGCGGGGTGCTCTTCGGTCAGATTCCATGGAGGCAACACCAAAATTGCTGGAACTTTTATCTGTCCATGAATTTTCTACGCTGGTTGAGCAATAGTTTTGCCTAGGTATGAAGAGAGGATACTCGTTGCTGCAAAGAGTCAAAGTCAATAGGTAATTTTAGTGTCATAAAACTATTTGATTCTGGTTCATGGCTCAGAAATGTGAAATTGGAACTTCAAAAAAGGTTGAACCTTCGAGACGAAGGGCGAGCATCCCTGTAGGAATCTCGCTGCCATATACGGGAGCAAGAACCCTGCGGGAGAATTATGTACAAGGTTAAGAAGAGCGGACACTTATTTTTGCAAAGAGACCGTTTTATTATATGTTCCTTAAAATTTGGGGACACAAGACTCAAAATCAGAGATGAGAGGAACATCTTACCGCAAAACCTGAGTTATGGAGTGAAGGAGCAGCCAAGTTATGAATCACAAGATTCAGAAGCTGGACCATGTACCTGCTCCATATGTAAAAGAAAACTTATCAGCAACTCCACAAGAAAGCGGGGCAGAAAATACAGGGGATAATAAGAAAAGCTGAAACCCAAAAACAAAAATTCAACAAACAGATATAGCCTTTCAGAACGATAACAAGGACACTACCCCAAAGAGGCTGCGAGCACTTCCGATGGAACCGAGTGAGGGTCAAGACCTCTTGGTAGACGGGCATTGCAAAGCAAATCATACTGAACGGTAGAACCATTTTTATTCTCTCCATCAAAAGTAACCTGGGATCATACAAAGCAGTAAAAGTACGTACTGACTAGAGAATACAAAAAAATATATTTTTAAGTAAATACCATCAAGAGGGGACTATTTGCATATTTGTTAGTATTCTTACACGTCGTTGAGGGAACAATTTGCATATCTGCTTCATAACCACGGACTGCTTGTGAAGGCGTTCCGATGTGATTGCCATCTGCGATTTAGATAACACTTTGACTTATATAATCGTATATACATCTGATATTTAAAAATAAACTTGCTATGTGGGCTAAATTCAAAGTGGACATCAGATTATATGAAAATGAACTAGGATTCCTTACATGGCCCAGGGTCTGCGTACAAATTAGATTAGGATAATACTTCTCAAGTTTTTCAACTCTATTTTTCTCCAGCTGCAAACACACAAATGACAAGATATCCATCAAAATTTCAAACAAAACCTCCTCCACTGCAGGCATCTAAAGAAGCCTCCAACAATAGTGTCACTGAACAAGAACAAAAGCCACATTACAGAGAACTGTTTTTACTACCATTGAGCGAGCTGAATCCAGAGCCTCGTATCTAGCTTTCATGCCATGAGACTCTCTTTCAATCCTAGCCCTCCCTAATAAAAATCAAGAAACGTTACTTAAACAAAGTGTACAAAGGAAGAGAACATCAAACGGCAATCACGCTAATGACCTAGAGATGCAAAACCTTGGGCTATTTTTTCCTTATTTTGCCGAAGCTTTTCCTTCAAGCTCGAAAGCTTCTCTCTTTGAAGCACTCTCCAGTTTTTCTGATCATCAGCCTTTCCCTGCAAAAAGATTTACAAAACATTAATTTGGTAAAAACAAAGAGGACATACGCCAATAGCTAAGAGGTCCCATCACCAAACCTTTGCCACCAATAGCTCACTCAAACTCGAATATAAGGAATCTCGTCGATTATTCAGTGACTTCAACAACGTGTTGTACTCGTTTAACCTGAAAGGAAATCAATACAGGACCTAGAACTCAGCAAATAAAATACAATTTTGCAGAAACCCACATAATCAATGCTTAAATTTGTGCTTTTTAACGATGAAGCTAATCGAAATTTGGATTTAAACGCGCAACAAAAGATAAGGGTCACTAAGCATGTAGAGAGAGGCATTGCATTGATCAAATTCATGCGATACAAAAACATGCCAATCGGAAAAAAAAAACATACCTATAATTAACGCAAGTGGCGCAAATCGAAGCGCGATTAGAATTCTCGCAAATAGCACAGTTGCTGGAACGTTTCATCATCGATTCGATCCCTCATCTGCAAACCGAAACCCTAACAAATCCTACTGGTTTATACACCAACAGCAAAGAGGGAAGGAGAATTAGCTCGATCAGAAGTCACAGAAGGATAAGACCACCACCGAATCGCTGTATATGAGAAGTGATATGAGAAGCTGGGGAAATAGACCTCGTGGAACGGAAACGGAGTTCCGACGAATTTGACGGCGAACAAAACAAAGACAAAGAGAAAAATAAATAAATAATCGATTTGTCGAGGCCGGAGAGAGGAATCAATGGCGGTGCCGTCGCCGGAGATGAAGGGCGCTCCGAGATCCCATAAAACGAGACTAAGATTTGGTTTTTATACAAAGGGAGGGGGTTTTGAAATCGTCGGACAAGAAATCACAAAATAAAATCTTTTATGGAACATTTAGAATTTCAGTAAAAGAATGGGAGATTGCGTAATTTTCGTAAATTACTCGCTCTGGGCCCACTTCTTAGATTTGGGGTTACCTGTTGGCTGTTGTTAAGCAGAATTAACGAAAATTATATATGAAACGAAACAAAATAAGGTTTTTAAAAATTGTCTGGATTTTAGTTTGCTCCATATTGATATACGTTATTTTCAGGTTAAAAAAATCGTTTTCCGTTTGAGAAAAATTGAATTCGAAAATAAATTTAATAGAAAAAAAACGAAAAACCATGGAATGTTTTTATTAATTGAGTACAATAAGCAAATACAAAATTTAGCTTTTGAAAACATGTGACCGATACATGATCCAAGAATTGTACAAACATTTTGGACCAACATTGATATAGAGAGAGAGATTTATAAAATCATACAGTGTATATATATTATAAAGTAGAATAAATCACCGGTCGTCCATCTACATTGTTACAACAGCTCCTCCTACGTAGACGAGAGAAGAACATGTACAAAAACAAGACAGAACATCTCACATGTAGTGTTTCTCGACCAGTTTCTTGAGTTCCTCCAGTTTGGAAATGAGCTGAGGCCGCATCAAGTCCCTTGCTTCTCTTACCAAACTCCCTTCCCTGCTGAAATGGTAAGCCTCCAACACTGTCTTTATCAACATGTGCAGATTCTCCGGCGTCCTGCAAAAAAAAAACGATGGGAGATTAGGTATCTGTACCCGAAAGGGGTCGGGACAAAATAGGGGCTTTTGGTGTTTTTCTCGTTCTTACGTGTATAACAAGTCTACGTCTATCCCTTCAAGCTCCTCTCCGGGAGTGAACGCATCTTTCAGGGCGCTCATCCGTTCCTCGGGATCCTCAATCATGAGGAGATACTTCAGTATTCTCACCTCTTTCGGCATTTGCTTCTGGAGATTCTCCCTTGCTCTTATGTACAGATGGTACATTATGTCTTTTACCTGGTAAGAACAAGCAAGACGAGAATGGATCAAAGAAATCCGGGCCTAAAAATTTATGCGAAAAAATCCCGGCTTTTGCCTTAGTTGAAATTCTTTAGCCAAGCTTTTGAAGTTCATGGGTGAGCACCTCATCTTTCATCATGTGTGTTTCTTTTGCAGCAGACCAAGCTTTGGAGATCATCAGAACCAATGCAGAATCAAGTTGGTTCTTTTCAGCTAAGCTGTCGATCTTTCTGCAAGCGGCATCAAGAGACGGGGAATTGATTATGTCTTGCAGCTTCAACTCTGCAGCACTGATTGCTTCAACGGTTTCAGCCGATGCATCGTAAGCTTGTACAGCCGCCAAACACGTGTTCCCAAGTTCCGTCAAAGCTTCCAAATATAAAACAGGAATAACTAACGTAAGTACTGCATTTCCCCGATTATCAGCTTTCTGGAATAAGCAAGAGTTTCTGCTTCGGGGTTGAGGGCAGAATTCTTTTTCATGACCAAACCCATGACTGTCTAAATTTCAAACATAGTTACATAAAGCATTAAACTTTAGTTGCATTTTATATGTAACAGACAATCAGAGTTACCATTCTGTTCCGTGGGATTGTCATGGAATGATGCTGCAAGGGTATGCAAATGCACGAAAAACTCCTTTGTGAAATCTTTACGTCGCCTGGCAACAAGCTCATCAATTTCAGTCGGTGGTGTTCCCTTGATGACTTTCAAAAGCTCGTTGTGCCTTTGCACATCTTCATCGACCTGACAAGAGCAATGTCACACACTGAACCACACAGGCAACGAAGGAAGAATTGCACCGACATGAACATATTCCTAGAATTTCAAAAAAAAATAACCTCTTTCAGTTTTCTCCCTAGCCGATGAAGCTTGTGCTTCATTCCAGGGTCCTCCTCATTATCCGCTCGCTCTTCACAGCGATTGTAGAAATGGGGTCGGATATTATCCCACTCTTTGCTGAAAGCCAGTAACTTTCTCCAATCACTGGGAGTGGGCTTGTCCACCATGAAAACCTCAATGAGCTTATCACAAACTTTGGTCATTCTCTGGCGTTCTGACTTTTCAGCTTCACTATCCTTAGTTTCTCCATTGTCATAACCAGGTGAAGCTCCAGAAAATCCCGGGCTATCTTTCGGGCAAACGCTTTTATCATCCACAACAGCATAAACAGCGAATCCACGGTTGGAGTTTAGGAGTTTAGGAGAAAATCCTGGAACTTAACAACAATCCAACAATTATACACACTCTAACTCTAATTATCTGATGCTGCAACCAGAGAGAGGGAAATTTTCGAATTCATACAATAAGGTAATGGGATTTCTAAGCATCTTCACAAAAAATACAAACGAAAGAAATTAGAAGAATTTCAAATTCAGATGCTATGAAGCAAAACCCTGAAGTTATTTTGATGCAAGAATCAAACAGGAAAGGGAAAAGGAAAAACAAATTACGTTTTCACGAGCATTTGATCGAATATAATAAATCCAACCAAAGAATTTCACTAATCGTTCACTCGAATCCTTCTTATTCCGAAAAAAGTGAAAATATCAGATGAAACAAATAGATTCTAAGTCCTTCAACCGCGGAATAGCTAAATTTACCGTGGTTTGGTTGGCTGTTAATCACTTGGAACCGATATAACACAAAGTTCCTAAACCTCCGCAGATTTCCAACAGAACCAAAGCCTTACCTTGTCTGATTCGGGAAACATCATAAGAGACCCGTGCTTGATTCCCGGCGAGAAACAGAGAAGCACCAGGACGAGCTCGATGTTCAACTGTTCGAAAGCTCGAGACTGAAGAAGAGAGAGAAAACTGAAGAGAGACAGAAGCCATTTCCATGGAAGAAAAGAGCTTCTTGGTAGGGTTTTGGGCCGGAGAAGACCGAAGACGAAGACGAAGACGAAGGCAGATATTTCCTCGCCAAAAACCTCTCGGACCAGAAACAACGCCGGCAAACGAAACAGCAACAGCGTCTATAATCATAATACCGGCCCATTGATAAGGCCCAAAATAAATACGGCGCCGTTTCAATACAGCCAATACCGTGGCATTTTCGTGATAACTCGTAAGCGAAAGGGCTGTTACGTATTAGTGTGAAGCTCACATGGTCTGAAATCCATACTTGTATTCTTTGAAGCATGGACATGTATCTATAACAATATGATTACATTCCTTAATTATGACATCATAATCAGTTATTTTGCATAAGAATTGATAGTTAAATTCTGATGTTTTCTTCACCATTTGTAGACTTTAATCTCTATTTTATTAATTTTCTTGAAAGGTGTGATTTTTTTTTTGTTTCCGAAATTTCAAATATATGATGATTTTGGAAGCAGTGATATGGTTTTTGTGGAATTTGTCTGTGGTTTGGGATTTTACTTTTGCCCATTGACATGGGAGGATCTATATGTGGAAATACAAGATCTCACGTCTCCATTCATCTAATTAAAAAATTTTGATTTCTCTGTAATTTTTATAAAATTATTGAATAACTTTATTAAATACCTCTCCGGTTATATTTTTTTTTTTGGAGGGGGGGGGGTCGGCAATTGCCCATGGTACATGAAGTTGAATCTACTGCTAAATAAAATCATATATTTTGGATGGAAGACACACGTCACGCATGACATAAGACGAACGTCCTTGGCTAAATTGGTAAAACGTTATTTAAGGTTTTGAAAAAAAATGGTTATAAATCTCTGTAAACGTACCGTTCGAATTCGTACATGTTTAATCTAAAAAACATTGCTTCTATGTATTTTGTTTTCCTTAAATCGATATTTTCTTAGAAAGTTTCCGAGGAGATGACGTCATGCGTGAAATAAGAGGAAACCCCCCACTGTCGATGTTGACTGACTTTGACCTTATATGTAAAGTCCACGTTTCTTCTCCTCCGTGTCATAAAATAAAATTGCTACCTTATTCTTTATTTTTTATTATTAATTTTTCTATCCTATAATCATTCTATTTTCCCTTTTTATGAATCCAATATTTTATTCACTCTGAATAATTTATTAAATTTTTTAAAAATCATTTTATAAAATCTGAAAAAAAATAAGAACAATATGCAATATAATTAATTAAAATATTAGTAATATTTTGTCAAAAAAAATATTAGTAATAATAATATTGTATAGATATTGTGCTTGTCCCTTTGATGGGGATTATTGCTTCCCATCACATGTAGAGTACATAATCAATACCTCTCTTTGCAAGCAATACCTTTTCTCTTTTTCTTAGAAACTGTGTTTTTTTTTTAATTCCAAAAAATAAAAAAAGAAAGGAAAATCCCATTTGGCTGCCTAATGATCGCCGAAATGAAAGTTCCACGTAACTGCACCTTCCCTTATATATACACATCCCCATCCCCTTCTTTAAACCTCAGTACATATCTCTTCTCATAGCCTCTCTCTCTCTCTCTCTCTCTCTCTCTGTGTGTAACGTTTTCCGATCGAAAGATCGAGTCTTTTTGGATCGAAATGTTCGGTGGAAGTGGAATAGGGACGACGGGTTTTGCAGAGGTTTACGCAATGAGGAGTATTCACAGGGAGAAGGTGAAGAAGAAGCTTGCTTCCATCAAGCAGAGGAAGAAAGAGGAAAACGTGGTGACAGAAGACGACAAAACAACTTGGAAGCTTTTCAAATCCAATAAGAATCCCAAGAACAAGAACAACCCCAAGGTTTCTTCTGCTGATTCATAAACATTGCACAAGACAAGAGTGTGTGTGTTCTTATTACGTATATATCTATGTATGTCTGTGTGTATTGTCTTGTAACTGGTTATTTGTTTAATTGATTTCTTTTTTATTCTCTTGCACATGTTCGCGCATATATATGGGTATTATATATACAAACTGTATATATTGCCGCTTCCAATGAATATTAAAGGAGATGCAGAGAAAGAAAGAAAAAAACACTAGAGTATGTACATGAGTTTTGGAGATTCCTATCTTTAGTGCGTCTCCGTCACCGGCACTTGGAGGAGGCGAGAACGTAAGCGCGTGATGGACGGCTGAGATTCGATATAAGAACACGTGTTCCCATGCACCTTCCCGCACTGGATGATCCCTCCGTCGTCGTCCTCCCCTTCTCCTTGCCGGCGAACGACGACGTTTAGGGAGACAAGTTCCAGCCTCAGGCGACCGTTGGATCTGTGGGCCCTCAAGTACTCGCGATGCGTCGCCGTCTCTTCCCGGAGAATCAGACGTCCGTCGCTCGTGTGGTACCTCTTCATCACCGACGTCGACTTAATCGCCGGCGGATACTTGGATCTGTGGGCCCTCAAGTACTCGCGATGCGTCGCCGTCTCTTCCCGGAGAATCAGACGTCCGTCGCTCGTGTGGTACCTCTTCATCACCGACGTCGACTTAATCGCCGGCGGATCCTCCGCCATCTTCCTCCCCGGCAGCTTCCGTCGAATGTATATCCCCGCCGTTGCCGGCGGTTGTCTCCGTTCGCCTTCCTCCCGGTGCGTGACGGCGTCGAACTGTTCCGTTCCGTCGGAGGTCTCCGGCGAAGTTCCCGTCCAGGCTATATCGCCGGCGGGAGAGATCTCCGATGATGATGATGGAAAAGCTTGGAGGAGCATGTTCGATTGTCGCCGTTAAATGGGTAAATTCTGTTTCGATTTTTTATCTTCTCCGAGAAATTAGAACGAAACGGTTTTTATAAAGAGAGGGATGCCAATCACAACCGTTTCATAAAGAGAAATTAATTTGGTATTATCTTGAAGAAAACTTAAAAATTGCTCGCAGATACGCACGAGGATTAACACAGACAACGTAAGCATTATTTGATAATTACTCTGCAATACTATGAATGACACAGAAGATTAAGCATCTCAAATTGCCTAAATTTAAATTGAATTATTACCATTTTAGAAGCTTTATTGAATAAAAATTAAAAACCCATAATAGCAAATGGGCTTATATGTTAATGTGACGCAGATTTGATGTGTAAACTATACAAACCACACGAAATTACACGATGTGACATGCTGAAAACATGTTTCTCTCTAGGAAATGTGTTGGATAGCCGGGTCATAAATAGTAAGTCCAGAATCATAACTCAAGATATAGAAGTAAAAAAAGGAGTGTCAGACACCAAAGCAGAACCTACATGAAGTCTTGTATTATAGGACAGCCACAAAAGTGTGAGAATTCCAACATAATAGGAGGCGACGATCATGGAGAAACACACTAATGTTGCATAACAAAAAGAGATGAGAGGGCCAAAATCCAAGATAATATTAAATCACTGATCGCCAGGAAGAGCCTTGATGATATCAGAGTCACCTGAAACATTGAACAACAGAGGCGAGATGAGATGGGTATTGCGAGATTTCACGACATCGCATATACGTCTTGTGTATGGAACATTTACAAGCAAAATGTACCAGGATCGACGATGCTGAGGCATGACACACGGAAGTATTTTCCGCAGGCAGTACCCAGATCGACATTGTCTGTGAGCAATAAGACAAAAACAAAGGTAAGAAAATAAAACTTATATAAACATTTCTGAATACACATATAGGAAAAGCCATCAACCCAAATGTTAACCAAAGTCTTCTGTGTTCTTGGCTTTACAAAACAGAAACAGATACACCAACAATCTTGATCACACCCATGGATAATAGATTAAAGACATACCATTTATGAACTAATCCTATAGCATGAACATAAGTGTCTAATTTGTGTGGAATTGTGAGCAAAGCCAAATATTTTAACCCAGTAACAGAATAAGTAGTCCAAAGGAAACAACAACGGTAAGCCATCTCGCCCGGTTTTTGCTTCATTCGTCATTATAACCTCAGGACACAACAACGAAAGCACGAGAAAAAAAAAGGCGAAGAACTAGACAATAACAATATACCCACAAATCGACCACAACGTCCTACCAGCTACATACATACCATTTTGTCAAAATCAAAGGAGATAACATAACATTACAATGGCAAGAATCACTTACTTCCATTGTAATGGTGAACTCCAACTTTAGCAAGCATAGCATAGTATTCAATCTCTGACCTCCGCAGTGGTGGGCAGTTGTTGGATATAAGTATCAGCTTACCTATACAACCACAAACCGAAACCAACTACACAACCTAAGCCCGCCATCTCCTCCACATATATCCTCATGACATTACCATAACGCGAAGCAAATGAATCCAACAAAGAGGCAACAAAAAAAAAGGTTACCTTTGGAGCTGCGAAGGGACTTAAGAACAGATTTGTACCCTAGAGTGTATTTGCCACTCTTCATCACCAGAGCCAATCTGCTGTTGATTCCCTCATGGGACTTCTTCTGCAATTATTCTCGGAAAATGCCATATCAGAATCAGAATCACCAGATCGTGAAACCCGACGATAAAAATCTGAGGTTCAGGATTAAATCGAAGAACATACCGTCTTCTTCGCCGTCACCATCTTCGCCGCAACCAACAGATGCCGATTTCCTTCAAAATCGGAGAGAAACAAAGCACAAATATAGATTTCAGCGACTGAATTCGACGAAGATTGGCTACAAAATTCGGTGAAATAAATGGGAATTTTACCTCGGTGGTCTTCTTCGGGGGAACAGAGGCTTCAGAGTGGCGCAAAATGAAAGGAACACAGATAGAAAAAGGGCTGGAACCCTAACTAGGGTTTTCGAACTCCAAACTCAATGGACACGTGACTCACACGTGCAGGCCCAATACAAAAAGACATAGCCTAATAATTTTGGACCCAACTAAGCCCATACAAAAAATACAAAGCCTGCAAAACTTTGAATCTATATATATATAAATAAATATTTGAACACCTACGAGTACCGTTCTAGATGCTGTCCTAGTTACTTAGTTAGCCAATGACATACTTCCCCGATCACAAAAAAAATGATATTATGTGAATTTTAGATATTTGAATAATTTGAATATTCCAATAATTCTGATATCAAGTTCAAATTTCTACAATAATTTTGTGATTCATTAACAAATATTTTATAATTGTAATTAATTTTAAAAAAATATAAATGGTATTTTTAAAACTATACCATACGTCTGGTGGTGAGCCCGCGAAAACCAAATTTGAACCCATACGAGACTAATCTCAATTTACAAAACGAATTCAAATCTCGTTTATTCGCGTATGCCAAATGTGACCCCTGTCCTATGCGTATAAGGACCATTGCAAATTGGTGCCGCAAACGAGGGGAAATGTCATTATCGAATAGACTGTATAATATGGATATAATAATTTCGAATGGAAACAGTGTTGACACTTGTAATAAAAGGGTTCAATGGTAATGTTTGGTCCGAAATCATGAAGCAATAAAAGACATAGTAGATGTTGTAATGAAACGGTCCATGATTGAAGAAGCCATGTGGCCATAGTGGCAAACAATATCACCCTCAAGTATTTTGCTTTTGAAAAAGTATATTCACATTATTTCTCTTTCAAGAAATCTTTCAAACAACTGGTTCTATTTCTTTAATACAAATGAAGTACACTTCTATCCTTTCCAAATATCATTCAATCTTCCCTTTTTCACTCTTCTTGAATAAAACTTCATATCAAACGGAATTCTACCAATACAAAACATTATGTGTAACATATACCTCGTGTTATCCTAGACCATATCTAGGTTTAGTGAGTGGTTCATATGTTATTTGAATGTCAAATACACTTCACGTTTTATCAATTGACTCTCATCAATATTCCTCATATATATATCACTCACCAAAATCACACACTTTGCTTTCAAATTAATAGCGATAGTCTCGTAGGTTCTTCTACTGCATTGTCTTCTCTATTTATAAAACCTCTCTTCTTGATTCCTTGGTTGGACTCTGAATATGCATCTTATCTTTGCTCTGATATGTGTGATATCTTCTTTCATTAAACTGCATGCAAACTTTGATCACAGTCATCCTTTCTTTGTTTGGTTTTTAGATTTGCTTTATTCTTCCATTTGTCATTTAGATGTTGGTATGTTATTTCTTTACTTTATTTTTTTTTGCTGTTAAGAAGTCTCTCATATCATAACTTACATTTCCTATTCCTTCTATGAAATAGATTGTCATTCTACTTCGATATCGTCTTTGGTGTCTACCATTTATAGGGGTGTAAAACGGACTGGCCCGGACCGTCCCGATCTGGAAAAATTTCAGTCCAGTCCAGTCCAACCCATTTCCGTTTTTTAGCGAATCAAAAATAGGTTAGTCCAACCCAAATAGTCTTAACTCGTGAGTCAAAGGAGCCGGCCCGCGAGCCAAATATATAAATTTTAAAAATAAAATTTTAATACTAAAAAATATTTTAAAATAATTTTAATATTTAAAATATTTTTAAAATATCTAAAATATAATAAAAAATTAAATTTTTAAACAAAATAAACCAAATATGTAATAAAAATAAAATTTGTATATATAAAAATATATAAAAAAATTTAAATTTTTTAAAAAATAAATATTTTTCTGGCCTGCGAGTTAGCCCAGATCGTGACGGGTTGGCTCGCCATAGGCCCGGCTCGTGACGGGTTGACTCGTATGACCCGTTTTTTTTATGGGTTCGAAATACTTGAGCCCGATTCGGAAAAATATGGGCTGGCAGCCAGTCCGCGAACCGGACTCATTTTACATCCCTAACCATTTAAATGATGTAGCAGACAAATGCACCATATCATATATAGGCTCCACCTTTGAAATGACTCTGCTTATGCAAAATAAAAAAATATATTTATTTATTTTTATTAAAAAAAACCTTCAAATTTTTAGATTATAATCATATTCAATTCTAATTTCTTTTGTTATTATAAATTCCTATCCAAGTAATTTTTAAAAATAAATTCAATTGAGACACAGGCCTATATATTATTCCATCCTAATAAATCCAGCTACAATACCCTCCTAATAAAAACTGATTAAGAATAATATAATACTCATCGATTTGCATGGCAGGGTAATACTCATTCATTGGTTTTGCCATTTTCTTATTATTTTTGTATCTCTCCATTGATTTGGGATGAAAGCCATAATATCGTATATTTGCATGGTCAAGCTCTAAAATTCTTTATTGTTCCATCGGTCTTGCTACGATATATATATGTGTGTCTGTCTATATACATCTACATATACATATACATATACATATATGTAACGTGCAGTCATTTTTTAACTAATCCGCCACACACCTATATATGAGTAAATTTCAATTTTGTGCCACCTGTCCTACCTACTCATCCAATATTGCATGAAAGTCATTTTCAATGTATTAAGTTTTTCTCACGTGGGCCCCCATGGCCAGCCACAAATTTCAATCAGCCAAGCCGTCGACACAATCAACAAGAAACACGTGTCATCCATGTCAGCAACACGAATGTATGTGCTTACATGGCATCTGTCTTATGGTACAACGTGGCGTCTGATTATGCCATCGGAAATCCCTCGGACTCAATCATTACCCCTTATTTTATTATTATTATTTTTTTTAATCCAACCAGTAGTTTATTTCGAAATATTAAATGTGAATAAAAAAAATTTTGAATTCCATTCAATGCAAAACAACCTTAAATTATCAAAATCCGGACAATGCATTTTCTTTTTCTGCTCCATTAATTAAACTCTTTTAAACTTAAATATATTGTTTTGTGAGATATAAATTTTATTGACGAAATCTGTTATGAATTTATATCATATTAATTCACTAACAAAATGTAATATAACATCAAAGCACTAAAACAAAATAATAAAAAGTATATATATATATATATATATATATAATTTTTTTGGTTGACTCCGAAAATAATTATTGTAACTTATGGTTTAAGTTAAATAAGTCGTTTGTACGGTAAACTGCAACTTGGAAAATTTAGTCGGTAATTACATATTTCAATATAAAAAGGTAAATACTATTTTACATATCCAAACACAATAATAATAATAATAATAATAATAATAATAATAATAATAATAATAATAATAATAATAATAATAATAATAATAATAATAATAATAATAATAATAATAATAATAATAATAATAATAATAATAATAATAATAATAATAATAATAATAATAATAATAATAATAATAAAGAACGAGTGATTTTTTATTTTTTACATGGAAGCTTCTTGCACTTTCTAAGTCCAAATCCAATTGTCTCTGGTTTCCCCTTTTAAGAGGCAATAATTTTAAACGCAACAAGATTTAGATATTTATACCCCAAGCCCTTTTAATTATTTAAAATATACAATTTAGATAAATAAATTAAATAATAATCTATCATTCACCACTCAATTTCATTATAAATTCAAATAAAGTCCACAACCCCACCCCGTTTCATACGCCACAAGGCAAGTGCCCTTCTTCCCCACTTCTTCGTCACTTCACCTAAACCTCTCTCGTCTCCTTCATCATTCAAAAGAATCAACCCTTTTTTATATATATATTTTGGATTCAAGATTGATATCAAAATTGTCAATAGAATCGAAAGATGGGAGTGGAAGGAACGATGGAATACATCTCTGAATTGCTGAAGAAAACGAAGAAGAAGAAGAAGAAACAGATGCAGACAGTGGCTCTTCGAGTGGCCCGAATCGATTGCGAAGGTTGCGAACGTAAGATCAAACACATCCTCTCCGGCGTCAAAGGTATATGTTTTGTGTGTGTGTGTGTATACGTTTATCACACTCACATTCACGTTAGCATGCATATATATATATATATATACACACACATATGGAACTAAGCCTGAATTTGAGCCCAAATGATAGAGCTTGGACACACACGCACACATGTATATTCTTATAATGGTAAAATAAATCACTTAAATTGATCGTATTAAACATATAATTGATAGTATTGATCCACATGATTATCGAAACTAAATAAAATATATATATAAACACACAAAAGATTCAAGTTTAATAGTGAAAATACTGAATTATGAAAGAGAAAAAATGTGAAAAAGGGGTGAAAACGGTGGACGTGGACGCGAAGCAACAGAAGGTAACGGTGACAGGTTACGTGGAGCCGAAGAAAGTGCTGGAGGCGGCGAAATCGACGAAGAAGAAGGTGGAGCTGTGGCCGTACGTCCCGTACACGATGGTGGCTCATCCGTACATATCTCAGGCTTACGACAAGAAGGCTCCGCCCAACATGGTTCGCAAAGTCCCCGACACCGCCGCCCTGTCCGAGACCACCGTCGACGACCGTTACACCATCATGTTCAGCGACGAGAACCCTAATTCTTGCTCCATCGTGTAGATTTCTTACCACTATTGATATTAGTTTTTTAATTATGTATATGTATCATATATTATTAATTTTTGGTAAAAGGCAATCAATCATCGTGGTAAGAATGCTATTAAATAAACATATAAATAAAAAGTGAGAAATCGTGTTTGGTTTCGTGCCTGTAAAGCTTTTTGGACTGTGAAGAATTTGATAATATCTATTGAAAAGGACATTTATCCAATTACTGATAAAAGGTTTTATCATGATTACATACTTTTTGGTCCCGTTATTTTTATACAGAAACCTTGATAATATTCCAAGTTTTTTAATCCTTTTTACACATTATGGGCCACGACACCAGGCCCATGTAGGTGAGCTATTATAGGCCTTGGCCCACTACCCTTCTCGACCAGTTACCCGATCACCACGGATTGGGGTGATCATATATATATATATATATATATATATATTATGCATTCCAATAGAAATCTATTTTAAATTAAATATTTCTATGGTATACAATTTTGCAATTTTGTTATAAGAAACTGGGCTTACAAGTGAAAGTGGCCGTTGTTTCGATCAAATGGGCCCATCAACGACATTACATAATACTATTGGGCTTTACCCGAACCAATTTACACCAATCCCAAACCCTCTGACTCAATCCGAATCTCTTCGGCCCTTTTTTAGGTCGCCCACTTAAACTTCGTTTTGATTAAAAAAACAAGGAGGCGTCTTATCTTTGGGACCACTTGCTAAACTGTGGGCCCAATTCATAAGCCCACGGATCTAATAATTATTAGTAAATTTTTGTGTGGGCCCAGGTAGGGGCCGAGTATGGCCCACATTTTCTGCTTTATTATCGAAGGACCTCCCAACACCATTATTTGAAAGACCTCTGGCAAAAGTATACTCTCTCTCGCTGGACTCTTCTTCGCGGGTCTTCTCCTTCCTTTTCGTTTTCAGTGTTGCCTGTTTCCTGGTAAAATTTGTCGTCATATTGTGTATCGTTTGTATTTTCCTGAGAATATCGGTTTCTGTTCGTTTTGTGGAGTTTCCTGGGAAATTCCGCTTTCTCTGAGAAAATCCGCTTTTTTCTCTCTTTCGATTTTTTGCCCTTGAAGTTTTTGCGCTGTCAGCATAGGACGCCTCCTGTTTCCCAGGAACTGCCTACGAGAGGTAACTTCCGTTTGATGTCTTAGTTTTTGGTAAGGTGTATGTTGAGAAATGCGTTTGAACGAAAATTTTCTGATTATATTTTGGAATGGAGGAGAGAGTTTGATGTGTGTTGATTTAAGGTTTGTATCTGATCGAATAGAGTGTCTACTTGTAGGATAATGGCGGAATTCAACAGTGATAACCATGATTACGTTGCTGATGAGTGCTCTGACATCACCGATTTCGATCACAACTCGTTCAGAATCACCAAGCCCCAGAGGGATCATGATTCCGAGGTCTCGGATTCCGATTTTGAGGATGATTCTGAAACGGTATATTTCTCACGATTCTTATTGATGTTCCACAGATTCATGTCCCAAATTCCTGGAATGATCTGGAGTTTTTGTTACCATAGAGTAAGCCTAAGACTGATACGTCGGCTTATGAAGCAAGAAATGGCAAAGACATTCAGGGGGTTCCATGGGAAAGGTTCAAGTACACGAGAGGCGAGTTCCGGGAAACCAGGTTGAAACAGTATGAAAACTTTGAGAATCTTTTGATCTCTCGAGAAAAGGTTGATAAGGTTAGTTTTATTGAACTGAGTAGATTCTTTCTCTTACTATTCGTTCTTGTTAGCACAGCTTGGTCATTCTTCAAGTAGTGATTAGAAATGTTACAACTGACAGGAATCTCTTCAAACCGAAAAAGGAAAGAACTTTTACGACTTCCAGTTCAACACAAGGCTTGTCAAATCCACTATTGTGCATTTTCAGGTAGAGATTTTGTTGTGCTCATTCACTTTATATGCAATTTTAAGGGTTATTTGCAAGTTTTTGCACGCGATTTTCTAGTATTTTTTGCCAAACTATTTGCATGTTAGAGAAGGTAGCATCAAATTTCTTACTTCATACTTGAGTTGAGCCTTCTCTAATTTACTTCATCTGTTCTAGGAGTTCCATATCTTTTTCTCACAGGTTTTTCTCTTGTAAATATTGTGCATCATAAGAATAATTTGAACTTCTATACCCATATTGGTCTGGTTAATAGTTTGTTATTGGCATACGGCATTTGCATCTCATCTGCAGCCACTCTAGTGGAATGTCCAAGATTATCTAACTATGAGCAGGTAGCTAAGCTTATATCTGAAAAAGTGCTTCTGGTTGACCAATGGTCCCTGAGTACAGTCCATGTCCAGGGCGACAAAATGGGTGATACTATCTTCTGTTCCTTTTAGACATTCTGAATTCAAGTTTTTTACACACTTTTTCAACATTTTGGGCATTCGAGTTAATTGCCTTTATGATCTTGGAGCAGTAATTCTTCTTCTGTAACTTTGAATTATAAATGCACTGCTTAACCTTTTTTGGCATTTAGGACAAATTTTCTCATATTTCAGCCTCTAATGAAGTTGGGAGTAATATCTGAGCAGCCAGCGCCATAAATATTGGGTACGATAGGAGAATGTTTGAGCATTTAAGAGGTCCCGATACCCATGTGTCTAGATAGAGTTGTATTTCTCTGTTATGGTCATTTGCATCTTATTGTTAAGTTTTCATATTTCATTGAAGCACCTTTCGAACTTTTGTCATTACATGTTTTATACAATTGCATATAGTGTGTTTGTCACAGTCCCTAATGGTCCTGACCCGAAATGATGCTCGACTCAACCTGGGTTTTTTTTAGTAAACATGGGGTTTTAATTTAAAACAGTTTGCAGCTGCTGGTTCATAGCTTGAGTAATCTATAGAGTTTCTTTTGCATTCAAAATGGAACTAATCTTTTCATGCATATTTAATTTAAAACACTGGATGATATCTTGGATGTTGGTTCAGATGCCTATGAACAAACTAGTTGAAGGATTTTTTATTGAGTTATTTAGTTCTTGTGGCTGGATGTTGTGTATTCATGGATCCTTTGATTTATACATTGCAGCTGAGAAACTTGGTATGGGCAACTTCAAAACATGATGTATACCTAACACAGAACTATTCGGTCACGCACTGGTCATCTCTACTCCGTCGAGGGAAAGAAGTGCTTAACGTTTCTAGACCAATTACCCCCACTTTGGTAAGAACTCTGTTCCTAATGGATCTGTCGTGACAATGTGGATTAAGATTGTTTTAACCTCCTACTGGATATGCCAACAGAGACATCCTGGATTGTTGTCCCAACCACTCTCCAGAGTGCAAATTAGCAGTATGGCCGTCAAAGAAAACTTGATCGTGTTAGGCGGGTTCGATGGGGAGTTTATCTGCAAGGTTCTTTCGTTCTCCAAAAGACGACTTTTTTCGGTTATATAATCCTTTGCCACGGTCTAACTTTCGTGGTTCCTCTTTCTCAGCATGTGAATCAGCCAGGGGTAGTGTTTTGTACAAGGCTTTCAACGTCAGAAAACGCCATCACAAATGCAGTTGACGTATACCGAAGCCCCAGGTAAGGACCGGAGAATAGAGGCATGTTTCTGGTTATTCCATAATGCTGAAACCTGTGATTGAATCTTCTTCTCTTCTTGTTACAGTGGCTCCCTGAATCTAATGGCTGCAAATAATGACTGCAAGATTCGGGTATTCGATGCTCAGAACTGTGCACGTATCAACGACTTCACCTTCCGTTGGTCTGTAAATGTGAGTTTCCACAGCTCATCTCCACTCACTTTTCCCCAAAGCCGTCAAAGCCTTAGATGCCAAACTGTCTCATAACCCACCTGTCTTTCCTGCAGAATATCTCCACTAATCCAGATGAAAAGCTGCTCGCTGTTCTCGGGGACAGTCCCGAGTGCTTGATCGTTGATTCTCAGTCCGGAAAAGTAAGAAAACATTTGCCTTTATACATATACATATGGTGTAGTCATATACATGCATACACATGAACACATGTACACGCAGGTGAGTGCTAGTCTCAGGGGCCACCAGGACTATTCCTTCGCGTCGGCTTGGCACCCGAACGGGCTGGTCCTAGCCACGGGCAACCAAGACACAACATGCCGGTTATGGGACATACGAAACCCGACTCAGTCATTAGCTGTCCTAAAGGGAAACATGGGAGCCATTAGGGCTCTGCGGTTCAAGCCTCGAGAACCATTCCCG